TTGGGAGGGACCAGACTCAAAGGGGGAGCCCATCCTCCAGGGGCCGGCAGAGAGAGCTATGTGTGAATCGTATAACTGGCCATCTAATTCACCAGAAGATTAACCTGAAAGTTAGTAACTTCTCCTGAACCTCCTTTCTGATATTGAGGCTACTTTATGCAAATTAGATAATTAGAAATGTGCATTTCTGTTACTGACATCATCCCAGTGGAGGAAGCTTTGTGTCTTTGTCACTTCTTCACAATCTGTGTTTGGAATGCCTTAAATGGATGCCCAGAACCCTTTGAAATAGTGTGAGAATTTCGCTGTCTCCATTATCAACACAGAACAAATGTGCACAATACCGGCTATTGCTCATTGACAAGGCAGCTTACAAGCCAATGGAGAGTATAAACTACTTGACATTCATCCATCTATCCATCTTCAGTATTAGTCTCCAGTACAGGGTCACAGCAATCATAAGGCTTACTGTAGGAAGTCCAGGACATAAGGCAGGGGACAGTAAAATGCTTTGTTTATTTAAATATCATTCTTAAATAGACCTAGAGATTGTGTCTCATGACATTTGGTTACTAAACTGACCTTTTTTTATCCAATCCAACTTCATCCAGCAATTTCCCAAGTTTATACAGATGTATTGTGTACAGATTTCATACCTGAGCAGTTCAAGTTAAGCACTTTTCCCAACAGTACTAATCCAAGGACCCTTCTAGATCAGGTGACCTTTTGGTGTCTTTTCCTGCCTCGCTACCTACTGTCCTAAGCTAAAAGTGGAATGTCATCAATTAGCAGCCCAAAACAACAAACCTACACAGTCAACTTGAAAAATGCCGTGCTGGGAAAATCAGTCCCACACAGTGTATGAATTTTTTTGGTGTGTAACATCTAATTCTTCTTCAGTACATCACAAATGGTTCACTAGCCATAGACAATGACAGCTTTAATAATGGCAAGAATGATAGACTGCACTTCACTCTTACACTGCTGATCTCCTCGTATCATTTTACCCCCTGTAATCATTCAGCTTTCATGCAGACGTACATTGAAGTCCTGTGTGACTATCGTCTCTGTTAGTGTTTACCCTAGGAGCTCATCGGTGCTGCTGAAACTAATTTGGTAGTCTGTTGGTCCCTCACTGCACACACATGACAGGGTTAATTTAACCGGTGGGCGTGTATATTTCTGAACCACCTTGTGGCACGATGGGACTCTTTAACTCTTCTGATGGGAGTTAAGTGGCAGGTACTACTGAGCTTGAACAATGGCATCATCTCTCCAGAATCAATGAAATAATTGATTTACGGTGTAGGTTACTGTTGTCATACTAATTCACTGAAAAATATTAACAAAGGTTGACTACCACACATGTCCCCAGCATCTTTTATTGATTATTGTCACTCAATTGTATGGCAAAAGGTCAATTTCTTAACTATGTCATCAAATACTTCAGAGCTGCTAATAGCCAGTGTGGTACACAGTGCTGTCTCATATGTATAAATCATCAGTACTGCTTATCCAGTGCAAGGTCACTGTCAACCTGCTGACTGTCCTCAGAGGGAGGCAAAGGACACTGGTCCATAATAGGGCACAAACTCACACGGGGGGTAGGGGGAGGGGGTTCAGAGACACCGGTCCGCCTATGGGAGTAAATCAAAGTGTGTAGCAGAAAGCCAAGAGAATGTGGGGAGGACAAGGTCCCCATTCGCAGAGCCAGGCTGCAGCTCAAACCTACATGCCGCGTGTCATAAAAACCATTGTCTCAATTTTATAAAAGGCTGTGTCTACAATTTTAAAAAATGCCGAAAGTATTTTGTTTTTTTACTTATGGTTATGGTTAGGGCTCGAAGGAGAATTAAGGTTATGCCCTAAGGAATGAATGGAGAGTCTCCATAAAGATAGGAATACATGGACTGTGTGTGTGTGTGTGTGTGTGTGCCTTGTGCCCATAGCCTCCGGAATAGGCTCTGGCCCTCCGTGACTGTGAATAGGACAAGCAGTTATAGAAAACTGATGGAGGATTGGATAATCTTAGTCAGAAAATCCCTGTATCTGTATGTATTTATACACACGTTTATTTTGTTTATCTGATTCTATATTGTAGTTTCCTCACAACTAAATTTCTTACTTTTTCCATTTTTAAACATCTACTTATCTCTCATTGTTCTGTTCTCTCTCCTTCTCCCCAGGATCAACCTCAGGGTCTTTAAATGCGAGGCAGACAGAAGCGAAACAAAGATTAACCGCATCATTGAAAAGAATAAAGTGTAATCACATGAGAAATAAGCACAAATCAGTCAGAAGCATAGGAAAATTGAGAATCGAGGACTGAACTTTCAAGAATCCTCCTGGGAATATTAATCCATGGAGAGCAAGCATATATGTTCTACTCCTGTTCAGATGTTTCATTTAAATGAGCTGGTTCCATCAAAACACAAAAGACATTCTGCTCTTGTCCATTGACTGTGACTCATTTCTTGAAGCTTGCCTACACCGGACAGAACTTGAATTTTCCCAAACCAATTCCTTTAAGACTTAATTCTCCATTGCTGGAATTGTACTGATACCCTGAATTAGGTATCCTTTGGTATCATCAATGGCTTCACGAGAAACACCAATGGCCAACTGTGGGGGCAGAGCGGTCAGTGCCTTTATCTGGTCTGTTGCAATTATTTCAATGCTTCTGACAACTGGGGTCCGAGGAGACTGTTGGCTGATTGAGGGAGAAAAGGGATTTGTGTGGCTTGCCATTTGCAGCCAAAACCAACCACCGTACGAGGCTATCCCTCAGCATATCAACAGCACCATTGTGGACCTGCGTCTCAATGAGAATAAGATCAAAAGCATTCACTACTCCTCTCTCAGCCGCTTTGGCAATCTTACATATCTCAATTTGACGAAGAATGAGATCAGTTACATAGAAGATGGAGCATTTTCGGCTCAGTTCAACCTGCAGGTTCTTCAGCTTGGTTTCAACCGATTGAGGAATCTAACTGAGGGGATTCTCAGAGGCTTGGGCAAGCTACAGTACCTCTACCTCCAGGCAAACCTGATTGAAACAGTGACACCCAATGCCTTCTGGGAATGCCCCAACATCGAAAACATAGACCTCTCCATGAACCGCATTCAGCAGCTGGATGGTTCAACGTTCTCCAGCTTGACAAAACTCACCACCTGTGAGCTCTACACCAACCCTTTCAATTGCTCCTGTGAACTTCTGGGATTCGTCAAGTGGCTCTCCGTGTTTCCCAACAGGACGAATGAGCGCATGGTATGCGAGTCTCCGCCAGGTTTCTCTGGCTACAGCCTTCTCAGCCAGAATCCCAACATGCCAACGTTCCGCAACGCCCTGCACATGCTGTCCACTGTGTGCACTGATGACTATGTAACACCATACATTGTTCTGCCCTCAGAAACAACTACGGTTCCGCCAGCTTTCACCCCCTGTGGCCTGGAGGACTGCCCTTCCGGAACCGACCCAGAGGATCCGAACATGAATGTGAGCCCGACATACATTGACCTTGACGTGAAGCCCATCATGAAGCTTAAACACGTCACCCAAACCAGTGCCACCATACTGGTTCAGATCCCACATCCGTTCAAAAAGATGTACATCCTCGTCCTCTATAACAATAGCTTCTTCACTGACATCCAAAATCTAAAAAACCAAAAGGAGGAAATTGAGCTGAAAAATCTGAAAGCTCACACTGACTACACCTTCTGTGTGGCCTCAATACGGAACTCACTGAGATTCAATCACACATGTCTGACCATCTCCACAGGACTCAAAAATGGGAAGCAGAGGGTGGATAACAATTCCACCGCCACACATTACATCATGACAATTCTTGGTTGTCTCTTCAGCATGATTATCGTCTTAGGGGTGGTCTATTACTGCTTGAGGAAAAAACGACAACAAGACGAAAACCACAAAAAGGGAGGAAGCCTCAAGAAAAATATCATTGAACTGAAGTATGGGGCAGAACTAGAGGGAGGAACTATTTCTCGTATGTCTCAAAAGCAGATGATGGCTGGAGAGACCATGTCCAGAATGCCATACTTACCCCCCAGTGGGGATATCGAGCAGTACAAACTTCAGGATATAAGTGACACTCCTAAAATGGCTAAGGGGAGTTACATTGAGGTGCGCACTGGAGAGCCTCCTGATCGCAGAGAGTGTGACCCTTCCATGTCTGGAAACAACCAAGGTTCTGTAGCAGAGATCTCAACCATCGCTAAAGAGGTGGACAAAGTAAATCAGATCATCAACAACTGCATAGATGCTCTGAAGTCCGAAAGTACGTCATTCCAAGGTATGAAGTCTGGAGCGGTGTCGACTGCGGAGCCGCAGTTAGTGCTGATATCGGAACAGCCACAGAGCGCTTCTGGCTTCCTGTCTCCTGTCTACAAAGGCAGTTACCATCACTCGCTGCAGAGGCGTCAGAGCCCGGAGGCTTCCCCCAAGCGGCCGGGAACTTCCGTTGGGATGCGGAGCCCAAGGTCCTTCCGTTCAGAAGGAGCCTACAAGTCCGAGGCCAAGTACATAGAGAAGACCTCACCGACTGGAGACACAATCCTGACCATCACGCCTGCGGCAGCCATATTGAGGGCAGAGGCAGAGAAGATCCGGCAGTACAGCGAGCACCGGCACTCCTACCCCGACCAATCCGACCAGCCAGAGGGACCCGGGAACCGCAAGCCGTCCATACTGGAACCACTCACCCGGCCCCGGCCCAGAGATCTCGCCTACTCTCAGCTCTCTCCCCAGTATCACAATCTTAGCTATTCCTCCAGTCCGGAGTACTACTGCAAGCCTGCTCACACCATATGGGAGCGGTTTAAGCTTCATCGCAAGCGCCACAAAGAGGAGGAGTACATGGCCGCTGGACACGCGTTGCGCAAAAAGGTGCAGTTCGCTAAGGATGAAGACTTGCATGATATTTTGGACTATTGGAAAGGAGTTTCAGCGCAACAGAAGTCTTGATTTCCCCCAGACTTTTGTTATTAGATCTGGACCAAAATTACACAAATGTGCAAACATTTAAACTGCATTGAAAAAAAAAATTATGCTAATATAATTTATTGAAAACTTGCTACTGTTTTTATTCAGTGTTCCAGGATGACATGGAGAAAGACGTAATAGACCAACAGATTGGAATTTCTTAGTGTGTCTTAAATTAATAAAAAAAATAACTTTTTCCTTATAAAAGCAAAAATGATACAAACAAAAATGCATTGGAAATCACTATTAGGGTATCACACGGCCGTTTCCAGTGACTGTGAATTAACCGTTGTATACTTTAAGACATAAACAGGCAAAAAAGTCCGCTGAACACTGTATACAAGACTGTGTATTTTCTGTTTTTTATTTAGTTTTAATTCACTTATTTATTTATCTGTCAGAGCTGCACTTACATGCACACAAACATTTGGCATTATTGAACAAAGTATATAGTTTCTTCATACACATTCAGAAACACAGAGACTCATATTTGTTTCGCCTGAGATATATACTAATTCTGTATCAGTGCGGAAAGAACTATATGTAAAGACAAATTTCTATATTTGCAAGTTTTGTGGTTTAGAAAAGGAATGATTACCTATTTGAAGTTGATTTTAAACATAACTTTCAGAGACAGCATCTCCATATTGTTTTACTGCTCAAACGAATGTCTCATGCACACATGGATAAAATTGCACCACGCAAAGAAATCGTACATTCTTCAGCAAATCTCATTATTCTTTCCGTTTCCTCTGCCATTGTGTATCTTTTAGTAATGTCAATCAAACTGCACAATATAAAATTACCCATTCAAAATATTCTTTTAAAATTTTGATTCCATAGAATGAAGTTCTACCAACTCTTACATTTATGAGTGAGTGACAGACCCCAGTAGTAACTTTCTCTTTCTAGATGACATCTCCACACGTTTTCCGTTTAGTGCAATAAAAATAAAATTCTTGCAAGAACTCTTATTCATCTGCATCAGACCTCTGATGCCATGTATACCCAATTGTTAAAAAAAAAAATTCTAATGTAAATGACCGATTTTCCTTTGAACAATACATTTGAAAGCTTATATATATATATATTTTTCTTAACCAATGGATATTTTGAAGGAAACATCCTGAATGCATAATCGACAGATTATCTGACTCTGTAGCTATCACAGTATCCCAGAACATTGTTGATATAAGTACCTGAGATATACAATACGCACAGATTTTTAACTTCAAGTGACACAAGTCATTGTCCATGTATTATATTCATGCTATTACACTGATATTGCTTGTTCCGCAGATGTTCGTCCATAAATTGACATTGCAGCTCTAATGATGAATGTATTCTATACATAATTAAAGTTTACCAACATCCTTCTTTCCTTTCACCTTCTGTCTGCTATTTCAACCCATTTAACAAAACCACTGCCTGTTTTGTTCTCCACACACTTACAATTGTATTATTTATTTGTTATTGTCAAATATCTGTCAAAAATGTCCATAGATAGTACATTGTAAAATTTAAAAAAGGTGTTAATACTTGGTAGCCTGTCACTGTACAATGTTTCTCTACTTCCAGGGTAAAACAGCACATCTAACTATGTTAATCCTCAGTTAGTTGACTCCTGTAAGTCAGCCAGTTGAAAAGTGTCAAAAAGAACTTGGATAATGTATTTATAACGGGCTAATGTAGTTTTAATGCCATTCACAAATGCTCATTTGCCAGATGTAACTAAACTGTTGTCAGTTATTTGTGTTTTCTGATTATGTCCTTGAGTGGTATTGCAAATCTAGAAGGTGATTGGCTTGTCCAATTGCTTATTTCAACCGCCTTAAACTTTTTTGGACTTCTGGAGTTTTCCTTCATACTTACCAGGACTTTTTGATCTCTCCTCTTTTTTTCTCTCAATGCAACTAAGTAGATTTCATGAGCCGTGTGTTTTACAAATATATAGCCTCGTTTCCAAAAAAGTTGGGAAGCTGTGAAAAATGTAAATAAAAACAGAATGCAAGGATTTGCAAATCATATAAACCCAAATTTAATAGAAAATAGAACAAAAACAACATTTGAAATGCTTAAACTGAGAAATTTTATTGTTTTATGACAAATATATGCTGGGTTTGAATTTGATGCCAGCAACACATTTTAAAAAGGTTGGGACAGGGACAACAAAACACTGGAAAAGTTGTGTGATGCTAAAACAAAACACTTGGCTGAATATCTCACAACTAATTATGTTAACCGTCAACAGGTCAGTAAGATGCTTGAGTATAAAAAGAGTCTCTGTGCAGTGAAGATGGGGAGAGGTTCAGCACTCTGTGCAGTGAANCTGTGCAGTGAAGATGGGGAGAGGTTCAGCACTCTGTGCAGTGAAGATGGGGAGAGGTTCAGCACTCTGTGCAGTGAAGATGGGGAGAGGTTCAGGACTGAGTGGGCAAATAGTGCAACAATTTAAGAATAATGTTCCTCAACATAATATTGCAAAGAATTTGGGAATTTCTACAACTACTGTACATAATATCATTAAGATCCTGAGAATCCGGAGAAATCTCTGTACACAAGGGACAAGCCCAAAAACCAATATTTGACAGCCGTGATCTTTGGGGTCCTCAGGCGGCACTGCATTAAAAACAAACACGATTCTATAGTGGAAATCACTGCACGGGCTCAGGAACACTTCCGAAAACTCTTGTCTTTGAATAAGGTTTATCACTGCATCCACAAATGCAGGATGAAACTCTACCATGCAAAGTAGAAACCATATCTAAACATGATCCAGAAACTCTGTTGACTTCTCTGGGCCTGAGATCATTTAAGATGGACTGAGGCAAAATGGAAAACTGTCCTGTGGTCTGATGAATCAAGATTTCAAATTCTTTTTGTAAATTATGGACGCTGCTTCCTCTGGGCTAAAGAGGAGAGGGACCATCTAACTTGTTATTGGCAGACAGTTAAAAGCCCAGCATCTGTGATGGTGTGGGGGTGCATTAGTGCTCATGGCATCGGTAGCTTGCACATCTGGGAAGGGACCATTAATGCTGAACGATATATATACAGGTTTTGGAGCAACATATGCTGCCATCCAGACAGGCCTTATATATTTCAGCAAGACAAAGCCAAACCGCATTCCGCCAGTATTACAGCAGCATGGCAGTAGTAGAAAGGTCCAAGAGCTCGACTGGCCTGCCTGTAGTCCCGACCTGTCACCCACTGAAAACATTGAAACAAAAACTATGACAAAGGGAATCCCAAACTGCTGAGCAGTTGAAATCCTACATCCGGCAAGAATGGGACAACAACTCATTTCAAAACTCCAGCAAATGGTCCCCTCAGTTCCCAAATGTTTACAGAGTATTGTTAAAAGAAGAGGTGATGCAACACCATGGTAAACATGCCCCTGTCCCGCTGAAACGTTGCTGGTATCAAATTCAAACTGAGGATGAATTTGTCATAAAACAAAAAAAAATTCTCAGTTTAAACATTTGATATGTTGTCTTTGTTCTACTTCAAATTAAATATGGGTTTATATGGTTTGTAAATCATTGCATTCTGTTTTATGTACTTTTTACGCAGCGTCCCAACTTTTCTGGAAACGGCGTTGTATTAGCCAGTAACCTTTGTGTTTTTGTACTGCATATTGTAGCACTCTTGTGTTTCAATGAATATCAAACGATCTTCAGAAAGGAAGGCGAATGACTATAACTAAGCATATTGGAAATAGAACAACAGCACAATAAAGCAGATCCTTTCTTTTTTTTAGTTTCTTATTGTTATGTCACCTGATTTCGGGCAAAGCACTGAGCGGTGCTCAGTTGGGGATCAACGTCTTCCATCATTTATTTAGTTTTCGAATGCTCTAATCCAGGGTAATTTGGGAGGATTATCAAGTGGCGTATTATTAGTTCTGATGTCAGTCTCAGAAGATACAGTTCCAATGTCATACTGTACCTTGGATTTAAACCTATAAATCTTACTAATTAATGTAGCAGTGTCAGTCATCCATATGTGTTGGCAACCATATTCTTTGACATTTGATTACTTTGGTATTTATTCTTTATATAGTCTCATGGGCAAGCAGCCAATTTAATTTTTCATCAACTTTTGGAGAGTTTTGGGGGAAGCAAAGTCCAAAACTCTCACACTGTATATGAAACGTTCTGAAACACAGCCTGTATCATCCTCTTCATAGCGTAAGGGGCTTTCAAATTTCACGTTGGTAGTATAAATACTGCTATTATCCATCCGTCCGTCCATCTTCATTAAGCTTTTCCTGGTGATTTATGCAGTGGTAGTACAGCTAGCAGTTTCATACAGACCTATTTCCACGGCAACAGAATCCAAGTCCAGGAGAATCCAGGAGAATCCCAAATACTACTGTTGTAAAATATATGTAAAATATCTTCCATACTGCCTATCAAGTACAGGGTCATGGTAAGCCTGGAGCCTATCCCAAGAAAAGCACGGCACCACGCTGGCCTAAATTTATTTGTTTAATTAAACACAAAGCGAGCTAGCTTAACATGCCTTCACAATGTTCTGGAAGGTAATATTTATAGCTACATATTTAAGCTTCTACATTACACACTTGATTTAAGTCTGTGTAGTCCTGTACAACTAATGAATACTGAGTTCAATGAAAAGTTTAGCTTACTTTGATTGTTGCTGTAATTAGTAGATTTTTGGTGTAATTACTTCATTTTTCATTATGAGAAATACAAGGAGGGTGTGGATATTTCGGGGGAGGGCTGAGGTCAGGGGACAAGCCCCATTACTCACCTGTAATTAATCATTCAGGGGTATAAACCAAGGCTGCTGTGTATTCATGGAAAGAGTGTCCGGCTGTACTGGGTGTCCTGTGCTTTGAAGCCACAGGCTGGGAAGGTGTGTTGTATGATGCTCAGCTGGCTGTCCGTTACATGCGAAGGGTGCCAAATAAAATCACCCTATTCCAACCTTCAGTCCCTGTGTCCCGTGGATCTGTTCAGTCTCCGGAGAACCCGACGTGTCAATCTCGGTGCCGGATCCTGGGAACAGATCCACCACTGCGGACACCAGCTGGCCTGTATCCTGGACTGGAGACCGATGTGGAGGAACTACCTGGTGAGGATCCTTCTACACCGAAGATCTTGGGCATCTCAGGACCGGACTACCCGAAAAGGGGTTAGAGTGCTTCTTTTACACCCTGAAAAGGGGAGGAAGCATTTGAAGGTGTTTTGGGATTGGAAGCGCTCTGAGTCACCTTCGGGACTGGCCTGAAAAGGGGGGTGGTGCTATTCTTCATCTTCCTGAGATGGTCTGTACAGGGCAGCCATGGCCTCAGAACCCCCCTGCCCTTCCATAGAAGTCAAAGCACCTGATACTCTCCTTTAGTATTTCTCTTTATCTTCCTTTACCTTTTGTCCATTCCCCTATTTTGGGTTCAGGTCCCTTCCTAATAAATAAATGATTAAATGGAACATGCACCGCTGCCATATCCCACAGAACTGGTCTAGTGAACAAGTGAGAGCACCCCCAAGTGAGAGCACCAGTGGGATCCTGTTTTGGTGGCCATATTGGGGAGTGCCACTGGAACTTGGAGCTGCTGATTTAACTGGTGGTGCAGGAGAACTCGTGTATGGCTGATTGGTGGTGCAGGAGAACTGGGGTGTGGCTGATTGGTGGTGCAGGAGAACTGGGGTGTGACCGATTGGTGGTGCAGGAGAACTCGGGTGTGGCTTATTGGTGGTGCAGGAGAACTGGGGTGTGGCTGATTGGTGGTGCAGGAGAACTCGGGTGTGGCTGATTGGTGGTGCAGGAGAACTCGGGTGTGGATGATTGGTGGTGCAGGAGAACTCGGGTGTGGATGATTGGTGGTGCAGGAGAACTCGGGTGTGGCTGATGGGTGGAACCGGTGGACAAGAAGCAGGACATGGCAACCAGGACGTAACAGCTACAAAACAAAACAAAACCACTAGAGAATTAACCCTACTAAACTAGAGACTCCAGCATGCAGGAACCCTGGATCTGGAGAGGGGATCAGTTTGGCTTTCAGAAAGTGAAGACATAAAGAATCCCCTGTAATGATGGGAAGACGTGATCCATTACTGATACAACGCACAATCAAATTAAAAATCCAGAAAACAGGTCAGAAACAGGCAGGGAAACAAAGTACACATCTCTTTGATGGACTGAAGAGGAAGATGTGTGGTGACTAATTATGAACAGGTGATCTCAATATTCAGGTGAGGCAGAGTGTGGGGGAGCCAAGCTGGTCAATACTGATCTGGATGTCAAATCTGGAACCTCCAAAATGGTTTCACTTTCATTTCTATTGTCATCCTATACTGCAAGCCAGGGGCGTTGCTAGAGATTTTGGGCCCCATGAAAGCATATCATATTAGGCCCCCCAGTCCAAACCAATCCAGTTATTTTCCTAATTTTTTAGGGCCCCTGTCACTCAGGGGCCCTTGGAATCGTCCTAGCTTTCCTCCCCCTTACGGCGCCCCTGCTGCAAGCACTACTGTAAAACATGTGTTGCTGGTCATCCTGTCCCTCCTGTTGTCAGTCTTTTTGTTCCCCCCCTCCTCCCTGTTGGCCACATGGCTCAACTTGTTGAGCATGTGGTTACCTATGAACTCCTCTGTCTTGTGTTTGAATCTTACTTCCTCTGTTTTGTATTTTGTTCCTAGTGTTTCTTTTGTATCAGTTTAGTCCTGTGATTTTGTATTCAGTTCAGGTTTCTTGTTTTGAGCCTTAGTTGTGTTTTATCGGTTTTTGTTATTCCCTGTGTTAGATTCTGTTTTCCTCGTTCCTTGGTTAGTTCTTAGTTTCCCTGTTTAGTGAAATTATTCGTTTCACCTGTGACCTGTTTTCCCAACCCTTGTTGATTAATCTCACCTGCCCCTTGTTAGTCTTGTTACCCCTCAGTATTTAAGTCCCTGCCTCTGTTCAGTTCCCTAGTGGTTTGTTGATTGTTGGATGTCAGTGAAGTTTGTATGTTGCTAAAGATGGTTGTGTTTTGTTCTTT